TTCATCACTTCCGTCTCCCTCACTCTCTCTCATCTTCACCTTCTCTCTCTCTCTTCTTCTTCTCTGTCCCTCCCTCCAAGACCGCCATCACCGTCTCGCAAGGTTGCCTTCACCGTCGCCATCATTAGTCTTCTTCCCCTCCCATCTCTCTCTCTCTCGCCTCTCGTCTTCCCCTCCCTTTTCTCTGTCCTCTCTCTATGAATAGTGCGACCAACAGCGCTGCGCAACAGCAATTCAACGCCATCGCAATGGCAATTCTTTTTCTGCGTCGACGGTGTTTTTGTTGAGGTGGATCTGTTGGTGGGGTGGGGTGGGGTGGGGTGGGGTGGTGTTTTGTGGCTGCGGCGACGGTGGTGGCGGTGTTTTGTAGTGAAAATGGTGATTTTGTTGGTGGTTTTGTTCGTGATGGAGGCGGCGGTCGAAAGTTCTAGTGCTAGATTGATGGAGCTCTTATCCTTGGGATTCTCTGCCGACGGAGTTTATTTAATTTTTGAAATTAAACAAGCTCATCCACTTCCTAGAAACAGCATCAAGGTCGAGATGGTGATGGTTGTGGGTGAAAGGATGACTGGATTGATGTGATGGTGGTGGTGGTGGTGGTGGTGGTGGTGGCTAGTTGGCACCGCTTCAAAGTAAGATGGTTGCAACCAGAGTTGGTGGTGTCAACGAACCTTTTTTGTTCTATGACCAGATCGCAATTTGACTACCAGGTAGTTTGTTATGACAGATTGTGACTATTTGCGATCGATTGTAACTGGTTAATTCTAACCAATTATGATCGAATGTGACTTGAAATTCTGGAAATTTTTTAGAAGTTGGGAATGGATGGATGTGGTGGGTAGGTTGATCGGAGCATGCGTTGGAGTGGTCATTGGAACAATTTGCCAAATGGATCGTGAATAGTTGCCGGAGAAAGCATCGGGATGATCGTCGGAATAGTCGCCGGAGCAACCGTCAGAACTGTCACAGGAGCGGCCGTCGGAGAGATCGCCAGAACTGTCGCTGGAGCGGCCGCCGATGGAGAGAAGAGGTGGAGAGAGAGAGAGAGAGAGAGAATGATTTGGATTTGAAATTTAATAAATTGGGGTAATTGTATTATATTATAATTAAAAATATTTAATTAATTGACTTAACACCTGATTTTTTAAAAGATTTTTGAAGTTTGTTATTTTTTAAATGTAATTTTTATATATAAGATTTATGTATTGTTCCCATTTATAAATAGGGTCTATAAATGTAATTCTTATATATAGGATTCATATATTGTTCCCTTTATAAATTGAATACTTTGAATTTAAATGATCACAAGGCGGAAACCATGTTACCGATTCTCGCTCCGGAGTTGAGATCTGTTGTCCAATTTACTGCCCATCCAATTAATTATTGACACAACATTTTAAATTTAACATATCTAACTTTTCTCTAACTATACTTAAAGGTGACATTTTTAATGTAAAATGATGGTCAATAATTAATTGATGAACAACAAATTGGACAGTATATTTCAACTCCTCGTCCCATCCCCGACCGAGACGGCATTCCACGATTAGTCCATATCCCAAATACTCAATAAGTGGGAAATCCCCGTTCCATTTAGGACGGGTCTCCGCAAGTATCAAGTTTGATGATTTTTTTGTCATTCCTACGCTTTACATACTAACACCAAGTGGTGAAAGGATGACTGGATTGATGTAGTGGTGGTGGTGGTGGTGGCGGCGGTGGCTAGTTGGCACCGCTTCAAAGTAAGATGGTTGCAACGAAGGTTGGTGGTGTCAGCGAACCTTTTTTGTTCTATGACCAGATCGCAATTTGACTACCAGGTAGTTTGTTATGACAAATTGTGACTATTTGCTATCGATTGTGACTGGTTAATTCTAACCAATTATGATCGAATGTGACTTGAAACTCTGGAAATTTTTTAGAAGTTGGGAATGGGTGGATGTGGTGGGTAAGTCGATCGGAGCATGCGTTGGAGTGGTCATTGGAGCAATTTGCCAAATGGATCGTCAATAGTTGCCGGAGAAAGCGTCGGGATGATCGTTGGAATAATCATCGGAGTAACCGTCAGAACTGTCACAGGAGCGGCCGTCGGAGAGATCGCCGGAACTGTCGCCGGAGCGGCCGCCGATGGAGAGAAGAGGTGGGGAGAGAGAGAGAGAATGATTTGGATTTGAAATTTAATAAATTGGGGTAATTGTATTATATTATAATTAAAAATATTTAATTAATTGACTTAACACCTGATTTTTTAAAAGATTTTTGAAGTTTGTTATTTTTTAAATGTAATTTTTATATATAAGATTTATGTATTGTTCCCATTTATAAATAGGGTCTATTGATTTAACACCTGATTTTTGAAATTTTTTTTGAAATTTGTTATTTTTGAAATGTAATTCTTATATATTGGATTTATATATTGTTCCCTTTATAAATTGAATACTTTGAATTTAAATGATCACAAGGCGGAAACCATGTTACCCATTCTTGCTCCGGAGTTGAGATTTGTCGTCCAATTTATTGTCCATCCAATTAATTATTGACACAACATTTTAAATTAATATATCTAACTTTTCTCTAACTATACTTAAAGGTGACATTTTTAATGTAAAATGATGGTCAATAATTAATTGATGAACAACAAATTGGACAATATATTTCAACTCCTCGTCCCATCCCCGACCGGGACGGCATTCCACGATTAGTCCATATCCCAAATACTCAATAAGTGGGAAAATCCCCGTTCCCTTTAGGACGGGTCTCCGCAAGTATCAAGTTTGATGATTTTTTTGTCATTTGATGCGAAATGTATGATTGTGGTTCTCTGCAAACCAAACCTAGCACCAACGTCGACTCACACCACCCTAATTGTGTCGAATTCCATGGTTATAGGATCATTGCAACAGTTGTTGATATCGATATAGTTTCCCTCATATCGCAGTCAACCACCATTGAAGCAGCGAAATTGATGGTTGTGGTCAACCAACAATCACACGAAGCAAGGGTTTTTACTTTTCTTTCATGCCTACTTATGCACTAAACACTAGAAAGGGTTTGCCTCAACCATTACCGAAACAATAATGAAGATTGTGGTAATCAGTTAACTAGTAGTAACGAACTAAGCAACATGAGGGAGATGGTGGTTATGGTTGTGTTGCGGGTGGTTATGGGTGGCGGTGGTGGTAATTGATAAATAGAGAGAGAATGGGGGTTTTGATTTTAGATTTTTAAAAAGTGTGCCTTGTTTTTAAAATTATATTACAATTGTCTGATTTTGTATCTATTTTGATATAATTATAAAACTGGGCCTAATTTCCTCAAATTCTTTTCACAGTTGGGTCTTCATTCTCCAGTACTAGGTTTAGGGCTCAACTAGTTTGATTACTTTACGAAGGCAAAAAAATAAATAAATTTATATTTGGGAAAAATGAAAGAGGCAGACACAAAAGTGAGGTTATTCACTTTATGAACCAGTGATACTATGAGATTTACCTCTTGGTCATTGGCTTCTAAACATGTTCTTATTTATCCTACTGAAAATTAATTGAATAGAATTTTGGTGCAGCATTAGTGTTCAAGACATTAAAAATATTGATTAATACTATTCATTAATTATTAGTAGTGATCACCGCTAATTTATGTAATCGTAGATTCCTAAATTCATTGTCCAATGATTTATTGGACAATGAATTATGGGGCTCATCGCCACCAATCTGGTTATGATCATCACTAATATTAATAGTATTATTCGACAAACTATACAAAAATACACTTTCACAATTGAACAATGTTATATAGGCTCAATAAACCCACACTACCTCGTATATAATTTCACTTTAGCTCTAATAATATTAAGTCATTGTTTGGCTTAGATAAATGCTAAACTTTTAGTAGATTAAGATAAATGTTATTGAAATATGTGATTGAAAAATTGTTGAAAGTTGTGAATACTGTAGGATGTGTAATTAAAAGTAAATTTGAAGAAAAATGAGTTTTAAAATGTAAAGGCCAAACATGCACTAATATCTACACGAACGGAAATAATTGTTCATAGAAGAAATATGTGCAATAATGTAAAGAAAGGTTAAAAAATAAAAATAAAAAGCATAAAAACAAAATAAGAGCCGACACCTTCCGTTTGGAAGGCAGGCAGCCACATTTAAGGGACTGTCTTCCCATTTATTGAGTTACCACAAGTGTAACCAATAATAAGGTGACGCGTATGCACTAAAATCTACGCTTAACTCCTTTCTAATTAATCCATTCCCGTGATTCTCGTTATGGCCCATCGCCCCTAATCTCCGCTAATGAACCCCCCTTAATCACTGAACCCATTTGGTCCACTCTGAGTCTTCTTGTTTTATGAAATGTAAAATTCTTCAATTATTGTCCTCTCATTGCTCCGTGTTTCACTCATTCACCAAGAACACTTTTTTTGACTCAGTGAGTCTCGCCTTTAATCCCTCCCCTCTTCTTTTGACCTTTGAAGAAGATGATATAATTATTCCAAGTGATTTAACCTTAATTTTTTTTAGTTACTCATTGTCGGTGCTACTGTGCACTCATAACTCTCGTGCTCTTCGAATCTCTTTCTCCATTGTTATGCTACTTCCTTTTCAGTTCCTTCATTCTACATCTCCCCAGTTTCAATAATGCTTCCTGCAAATTCACATAATTTCTCTTCAGAAATCCAGAAATCAAACAAACCCAAAACCCTCAATTTCTTAAAGACCAATTTGAATTCAATACAGACCTGCTTTTCTTCGCACCCTCGTTTCTGGCTTTTCATTACTTTCCTCTTGTTCCAAGTCCTCGTCATTTTCATTGCTCGCACTCCGCCGCCGTCTCTCCCGGCTGAATACGCCACCATCGCCGCCTCCGACAACCATTTACCCCCTCCAATTACCATCATCTGCAACAACACTCGAAGTGAGACTGATCCGCCCCCTTCCGATGCCGAAGAATGCGGGACCGGGAAAATTTACGTGTACGACCTTCCTTCCATGTTTAACAAAGACTTGGTACTAGCCAATTGCACTGACCTTAACCCATGGAACTGGCAGTGCGGCATAGTTCCAAACCACGGGTACGGCAACGCAGCGACGGAATTTGCCAGAACCTTACCGGGAACTCTTTCTTCATCTTGGTACCGTACCAATCAATTCTCCCTAGAACTAATATTTCACCACCGTATGTTGCATCACAAATGCAGAACAATGGAGCCAAAATCTGCTACGGCATTCTACATACCATTTTACGCTGGACTTGCTGTTGGGAAATTCTTGTGGGGCAATGACACTTCTAAAAGGGACTGGCATTGCCGTATGATGCTTCAATGGGTCAAGAAACAAAAGTCCTGGCAAAGATCCAACGGCTCAGATCATTTCATGGCGGTAGGTAGAATTACATGGGATTTTCGCCGGTTGACGGATCCCGGCAAGCTCTGGGGTTCCAGCTTTCTGAACATGCCGGAGATGCAACAAGTTACCCGCTTCACAATAGAGAAAGCTCCAGGGGACTACTACGATGTGAGTGTACCCTATCCCACCGGATTCCACCCCAAAACAAAGAAACATCTCCTAGAATGGCAAAACTTCGTGCGTTACTACAATCGGACCAGTCTCTTCACCTTCATCGGGGCAAAACGCGACGAGGTAAAGAACGATTTTAGAGGGCTTTTACTAAGTTACTGTTACAACCAGTCGGACTCGTGCCGAGTGGTAGACTGTGGAGTGACTCAGTGTTCCACCGATTCATCCGCGATTCATAAAGCATTACTCGGGTCCCATTTCTGTCTGCAGCCGAGGGGGGATAGTTTTACTCGGCGGTCGGTTTTTGATTGCATGGTGGCCGGTTCGGTTCCAGTTTTTTTCTGGAAGAGGACAGCTTATGATCAATATGAGTGGTTCTTGCCCACTGACCCGAAAAGTTACTCGGTGTTCATAGACCACGAGGATGTGAGGAATGGGACATCGATAAAAGAAGTTTTAATGAGGTACAGTGAACAGGAGATCAGGAGGAAGAGAGAGAATTTGATAGAGGCAATTCCCAGGATTATTTATGCAAAGCCTAATAAGGGATTGGGAAGTTTTAGGGATGCATTTGATATAGCTGTTGATGAGGTTTTGAGGAGGATCAAGCTGGAAAAAGAATGGGCTGATTTTGTGGGATGACGAGAATTAGGGAAATGAACCAATTCTTTGGTTCTTTTATATACAATATATAATATATAGATGGTGAGTTTAATTTTACATTGTAATCGTTAACAAAAATTAGTTCAAACTTTATTGAATCATTTGAATGCGATTTCCTCAAATAAACTAAAAGATTGTTCCCGATGTGTAGGTTACTTCTCCGCTAATGATATGTAATCTGGTCAGGGTAGAACTTGATATTGCTCTTTCATTTCATACAGCCAGCCATGTCAAAGCTAACGAGAGAGAGAGAGAAGGCAAAAGCCGAATGCCAATAGAACATGACAATATGGAAGAATGAAAATCAACAGGTGCAAATAAGTACTCAATTTAATCCAGCTAATCTGTGCATCTACATGCTGATCGCGTTTTCAATGGCAGTATGGCTGCCTTTCGGGTAAAAATCAAACTAAGGGATTGCCAAATGAATAAAATAAATCGTTGCCCTTCTACTTGTTCATCCTACATCCTGAAATCTAAAACACAAACTGTGTTGTTGGCATAACAAGCAGCAATTTTATCACCTTCCTTGTTCCAGCAGACTTCGAAAATGCTACCGTTACCGGTGTATGTCCTGATGATCTTGCCTTCTTTCAGTGACCAAATGTGCAGCGATCTATCAAGAGACCCACTGGCCAAGTACTCGCCATTTGGACTAAAAGCAAGAGCGTAAACAGGATCCCTGAAAAATGCAAATTGGATTATATTGCCAATGAGTGCATCCACTGCACGAACTGTTGTGTAGACAGCTATATATCAAGCATCAGGTCATTGATTCAAACCATAAAAGCACACGAAGATTTAAAATGAACTGAAATTATAGAAATCATAATTAAACAAAAAAAATCGAGCTGGAGTTTTTCTTTTTTTTAAATCAAAATGCGGGCTTTCCATTAAGATCTGCCAATATCCTTTGGCAGTGCAGATAGTTGGAGAATCGTTGGGGTGAGAGGGGCTTGTGCAGGTGTAAATGCCAGTACTGAAACTGAATAGTTCTTTTCTTACAGAACTAACTATTCAACAATCAGCCGAACTCATTTAGTTCTCTCCTCTGAATTCTATTTGCAGTTGGTTCATTTCAAGCAAAGTGTCTTTGATAGAGGAATGTTGTTCAAAAAAAAAAGAAGAAGTAAAAAGGGACACCAGTCTTTATGTGATCTAGCGCCTAATAAAGGTAATAATTTCATTTTCAGAAGAACATAGAAGGTGAAATCTTCTGCTCACTTATTCTTTTCTTCATCACTTGTTTTCAAATTAGTTATCCAGTGCTATCACATAATTCAGATATAAATTATAATATTCAATTTACTGACGTCAGTCAATTTTTCTGATGGTCCTAGTTCCACATTCCAGTAAATTGAGCAACGAAAATTAATAACAAAATGAGTATTGCACCTGTGTCCATTAAGGCTGCTGAGAAGTTTTCCTTGCTCAATGTCCCATAGCTTCACTGTTGAGTCAAATGACGCACTGAAAAAGGACATATTGATACAAATAGAAACAGATGCAGTGTGTTACCGGAAATGTCTGCAAAGAATCTTCTACAAGATCAAAATCTGCTTTTCTATGTGGTTCTCAAGTTTGATATTTTTATGTATTTGATCAATCATCAAACAACATGACTTGGATCCAGAACTCAAATAAGAAACAACAACAATGCAGTGTGTTATTGGAAGGGTAACATTTGCAAAGAATCTTCTACAAGTTCAAAACCTGTTTTACCAAGTATAAGGATCATTTTGTACAGACACGCTTAACATTATATTGAGAAAAGTTGAAATCAAATAACTGACAGATGCTATATGCTTGTATCATTGTTAAAGACAAGGAAAAAGATCAGAGAATTAATGTCACAAATGATTAAGGAGCAACCTGGCCAAGATTAATGCTTGATTTGGGTTGTTTGTGCCAGGTCCAGTGGGACTCCACCGGATTGTATATATCTCCTGTTAAAAAGTAATAAGCAAACAAACAAAAAGAAAGAAAAAAGAATAAAAAGGTAAAATTTAGGTTCTACCTTCACATGGTCCCTCAAATCATGGACACACTTATCATGCTTCATACTCCATATCTGCATCCCCAACAAGAACAGAGACATTGGAGAACATAAACAACTAAGCACAGTTGTTGCCCCAAAAGAAGAAAAAAAGAAGCTAACTTTTAAGTTGGGAACTTCAGAAAGCTACATACTTCATCAACATGGTATAGTAAACAAATAACTTGAGAACGGAAATCAATGAGAATAAAATTGAAGAGGGAATTGGCAATACTTCACAGTGCTTAAAGACGAAGATAACATCTGTCAGTGTCATGGAAAAGAAAGAAATAAACCTTTGCAGTAATGTCATCAGAGCATGAGGCCAATAATGTACCCATAGGATCCCATTTCACACAATTAACTTCACCCTGAAAGCAGAATAGAAAGTTCAGGAAATTAATTGAAGTTTGCAAATAGTTCCATAATGCATAATATCAGACGGCACACTTTGAACCGAATGCTAACTGTTCTTAGCCATCGATATAAAATTACACCAAAAGCACTCAGTAGTAACTCAGAATCAACAGAATTTATGCCTAATTAAGTCGCATCTACTTATTAACTTAACTGCACATTGGTCACAAACTTATTTACAAACTCTTGTCACACAACGCATGACACAGGAGCACTAAAGCTCGTCCATTGAACACTTGCAGCATGGACTGTATGACGTTTTGATGACTTCAAAATCATGACCAAATATTAAGCCAAACCTGATGACCAGAAAAGGTTTTGATAGGATTAGTCTCCCCGATTTTGCAAACATGGATCATGTGATCACTTGAGCTTGTTGCAAACGAAACCTTGTTTCTCCAATCAATGTCAAGCACTGGACCTGTGGACCAGAAATATTGTGATGTCAACGCTAACTTCTTAGCATTGGGAGGAGACCACAGGAGGGATTTGGTAATTAAATTTACAATACAGCACCTAAATGGAATTCAAATTGTTGTTTCAGTTCTTCATTTCTCACGTCCCATATAATGGCTGTTCTATCACAGCTTCCAGTAAGAATATAATCGCCGTTCTTGTTCCATTTCAGACAAAAAATGGGTCCCTTATGCTTGCTTAAAGTACTCTTTAATTCACCTGAAAGACGCTTCCCATAAGACAGGCCAAAAAGAATAAAACAACAGAAGTGTCCCAAAACAAAATCAAGCTCAACGTGGATAATTGTGAAATACATGAGTACTTAATAAAAACAACAAAAACAAAATCGTATGTATTCTTAGAGCCCACAGCTCTAAGAATGCCATGCTTATTCTGGCTACATGGATCGTTTCTTCCGTTTCGCTTGATCAACCAAAATTAAACGGCACTTGATTCTAGGCAATATTAGGCTTACCTCTTCTTTTAGGTTTAATATTAATCCCATTTGACAGCAATTATTTGGAAAAAAACAATGTTTTGAATAGTGATTTTTAAGAAAATGTGTTGTTAAAAAGTATGGAAAAGTTTTGAATTTACGTGTAGAATATTTCATTGTGTGACTATGTGGTTGAAAATAAGTATGTAAAAAAAAGAGTTTACAAATAATGATGGTCAGACAGGAGATAATATTAGTCCCATCACCTCAAAACCTAATTGGTACCTTAACATAATTGGGATTGCAACTAAACTTTGATGTCCTGTTGCTTTGAATCAGGTGCGGATATCCGATACGGATACATATCTAGGAGTCGGATGTTTTTTTCCTAAAATCTAGGATGTAGGGATACATCTAGAAAGAATACAAACTTTAGATATGGACATATGGGTACGTCTGATAAACTTAAAATTACTTTCAAAAAGCAAACCTCTTGATGCGGACATCCATCGAGATTTATTATTTTCTATTGTAAACTTTTATTTATGTTTCTATCATTGGGCTTGTATTATGAGCTGGCCCAAGCCCCTTTATTTTAGGGTGGTTTATTTGATTATTTATAAGGTTTTATATTGGAAAAAGGACGGATGATGAATGAATGAAATAAATTGTGGTTCGTTGCCGAAGTTTTCTCCCTACCCCGATTCTTCTTCTCCTTCTTCTGTTATTTTTTTCTTTTGTCATTTCTCACTCTAATTTCCCCTTCTTTGTAGACTTGTTTCTCATTCTACATTAGTTGCTTCAATTAGTGATACATCAAATTTGGTGTCAAAGCCAAAACTTGGAAAATACATCAAATTTGCTTCAATTATTTTTCCATAAATTTTCCGTCATCTTCACAAAATCACTCACCTCCGCTTTCACACGCTGCAACAAACCACCCCTCACCGGCAGTCATTTAGTTGACAACAGCTACGTCCTGTCCCACCCCATTTAATTTTAAAAAATTAAAAAAAAAAATTTTGAATTCAATCCTTTAAATGAAAAATTTCCCGAAATTTCATTAATTCTAATGGAAAATGGCAACTAAAATTATTTGTTTCAGCCTACTGAATTAGGACAATAAAATAAATTATCAAAAACTAAAAAAAAAAAAATTAAACAGGGCAAGCCCCCCGCCCAGCCTTTAACAGATAATGGGGCGGGGAATTGCTTGGCGGGGCAGAGGGCGGGAGAGGTTGCCCTGACCCCGCCCCGTTGCCATCCCTATCCCAGAAAGACTTTGACAGCTTTACTCAGATTTATTGAAGCTCTACGGAGTCAATAGGATCTTCCTTTGCCCAGATCTCCTTCTACCCATTCGGGGGAGTTGGTAGGGTCACCAGATTCAGACCTCCATTGACACACTTTTATGAGCGTTGAAAGAAACTTGTTCAACCACTTAGTTTGTGATTGGGAGATTGACCATAGCCTCTTGTGACTTATCCACTCGACATGGTCAAGTTTTTTCCCATCCCGGAAAAGTTGATGTGGACATCCATTGAGGTTTTTTTTCTATTGTGAACTCTTATTTATGTTTCTATCATTGGACTTGTATTATGGGTTGGCCAAGCCCCTTTATTTTAGGGTTATTTATTTGATTATTTATATGGTTTTGGATTGGAAGAAATGATAGACTATGAATGAATGAAATGAATTGTGGTTTGTTGCCAAAGTTCTCTCCTTTCCCTGATTCTTCTTCTCCTTCTTCCGTTGTTTTCTTCTATCACATCTGTCTCTAATTTCCCCTTCTTGTAGACTTGTTTCCCATTCTCCATTAGTTGTTTCAATTGATGCTGCATCACCTCTGCTTAACCCAATCAACCTATATTGGTCCTTGTGCAATGAAGACAAGATCTACCATTAGGATACATGATTTACGTTAGGGTAAATAGCAATGTGCAATCCTAAACCTTCACCCCCTTTGCACTTTGTCCCCAACTTTATTTCTTGGCATCAAACTTCTCAATCTTCCTCTTACGTCCAAGAAAAACGGATGTGTTGACTGAAAAGATAAAATTTCCTCAACTCCCTCCATTCCATAAAATAGGCTTGCTTTTCTTTTTCGTCTGCCTCGAATTAAATTACAAACCACTTTCCTTATTGATAGTATAGTTGATTTCTTAGTTTTCTAATATACCCCCTTTTAACATGCCTCCCTAACAATAAATATAAACTACTCCTATCTTAATCTGTGTGAAAATGAAAACAAATCTTACCATCAATATGAATTGTTAGGTCTATTTAGACCCCCAGGAAAATTCAAAAATTTTAAGCATCAGAATAGTATCAAAGCAAGAATACACCCTCTAAATAATGTTCATTGTAACTGAAGATAAACTTTTATCTATTTACAATCAAACCCCACGTCAGCAGAAACTAAGTAAATTACTTCCAAATATGCTTTACTACAGCTTACCATTTTTACTCCAAATTCTTGCTTGCCCATCAAATGAACCTGTTGCAAGCAGTGTACCGTCCCCCTACATAAAACAAAAGTGCATTTTTATCACTTTATATACTACAGAGCTATGTTGAACAAGTTTCCAGAAAAAGGCACATGCATCCCTAAATCCTTTACGTTCAAGCAATTCCCTCACAACCAATTTAATGTGTTATCTTCAGACTGCTAACATCTACCCAACGTGCAATGTGAATTATCAATATTGACTACAAAATTCCAATACAATGTGCTTATCTTCCAGACAGCCAATATTCACCAACGTGATAACTAACAATGGCCAAGAAGTTCCATTTATTATTACCGCTGTCATGAACTTCTATTATTTACATGAAGCAGAAGCACACCAAATTAACAGTCCAATTTCAATAGCTATCAGCCCAATCAAATTGAAACCTGGTAGTGAATCAACTGAAAGTTGGTTAGATAATTTAGCATTAAACCATAATTGTTTTTGGTTTATAGTGAGTATGAACCAATCCACCAAAAATGATTATAAAGGGGAAAAAATAAAAAAAGAATTTTAGCTTTTTTCTGTTCAGTGACAAGATACAATGAAAGCATTCAACCCTTTTCTCTTCACAAGGAACAGTAAACATCAAACTAATTGCAATCCAAATGGTTAACTGCTTGTTAGAAACAATCAGAAGGAACTTAAGAGGAAAGAAAAGTATTTCAGCACTTAAGCTATAAAGAAACTGTCCTCGAAAGAAAAGTACTTAAGCACTTGAAGCTATGAAGGAACTGTACTCACATTCCAGTCAAGGGTTGTCACATCTTTACTTTTCTCATTTGTTTTAGGTTTGATATGCTTAAGTACCAAAACGCTCGAACGGCAACTTTGTAAACTTGATCTACTGGTCCCGTCGGTGATTGTCCAAATTCGAGCAGTTGAATCTCCAGATCTAGATAAAAGAAAAAGTAAAAACTTTAAAAAGGTAGCCCATAACCTCGTATGAAAAAAACTACCGTTAATAATGGCAAAAAGAACATCATGATTACTTTTATATGGCCACACTGAAACGGGAATAACTTGTGAACTTTTTCTATCAAAATGCATTACTAATTATCAAATTAAAGCTGCTACAGTTTGCTTGGATTAAAGATATGAATATAAATCCAAGGAATAAAAATAAATCAGGAACCACATTAGATTATAATTAGAAGCTCTTGCACGACCATCATGCTTAGCAATGCCAAATCTAAGACTTTTTAGTAAGTAAAATCGGGCAATCAATACTATCAACTTTCTCACCGTATCACGCTTAGCAATGCCAAATCTAAGACTGTTTAGTAAGTAAAATCGGGCAATCAATACTATCAACTTTCTCACCGTATCACATTCCGGAATTCCTTTTTTTATTTTTTTATAGATAACTTTCTCTCCTGTATCATTCTTACAAATATTGTTTTCTATTTGCAATAGAAATAGGAGATTAAATTATAGTAAAGTTACAAAGGCAGATTTTTAATTCCCTAAAACAAATGTAGAATCAGTAACCTAGCTGCTTTTTCTTTCTATAAATGACTTAATTGATGTTATAATCGTCAGATAAATTTTAACCATATATATGAGTAGATAAAGAATGTTGTAAAACTATATCATTTCATCTAAAAGGAGTTAGCATTTGGCTCCAGAAGCCACAAGTTCAGTGTCAGCATGAATACCTCCCCTCTATTTAGCATGATGGTGATTATGTCAGAATATCATTTTCCCACCACCAAAACCATCTCGTAGGAACTCAAATTGCTAATTCACATTAGGAACTCATGAGCACCCTTAAAGTTCCAAACAGTTTTCATTCATGATTGTGTAAATGCCATTCCCAGATAATTATGCTACTAAGGAATAACTACTTAGATTAGCACAAAACAACAGTTCATGATCCATAATTAATTCATACTAGACAATCAACGGTACTTAGTATCTCATCCGAGACAGGAGAAAATACCCACACAGAAGCAAGAAGGGATTCTGATGGACTCCATGCACAAGCACAAACCTGCAACAGAAGAAAATGTGCAGATTGGTATATGTAGTGAAGCCTAAAAATCTAAATGGGTTGCATGCCATACAGGTATTCAGACCTCAGAAGTATGTCCTTCCAAAATTAACACATCAGAACTAGGGATCTCACGATTAGGAGATGGTGAACAGACAGAGACATCCATCGGTTCAGGTCCTAATAACATGATAAGAAGATTAGAATAGTTAATTAATTGATACACTGCTGACATGGAGCATGCAGCTTTAATCAATGACATTGCAAATGATTTAGCACTTCTATTTCTTATTCATACAAGAAAAGTAAATACGGTTGATGGCACATGAAGAATGAAGGCAAACAAATTTTCCTTTTCTGTTATAAGAAGTAACAGTGCCAGCAATCAAAACTGCAACTAAGAAAGCCAGGATGAATTGTAATTCACATTTTTGTACATCACAATGGCATTGTCAGACGCCCATAGTGAAGAACAGGTAACCTAACAGAGGACTAAAGAACTTAATGCCAACCCAAATAAAGACTCAAAAAATAGGAGGAAAACAAAATGCACTTGAGTATTAATTCAAGGTTACCCAAGGTGGTTTTATCCCCGCAACACCCATTTTCTTGTCTGACGCCTTCCCTGTTATCTTGATCAGTAATCATTTCTCTGTCGTTTTGAACCTCTTGCAGCCTTTTGATTCGCTTATTGTCCTTTTCAACTTTATCTTTGCCATTTACATAATCTCTTTCCCTACTATCCCGTTTCTCCTTCTCTTTTTTCCCCTTCACCTTTTCTTCCTTATCTTTCACATGCCTACTTGCTCCTTCGTGCTCTTTGTCCAATTCCTTATCCTTTTTATCCTTTTCTTTTTCTTCATTAACTTTTATACACTCACTAGCACCTTCAGCTTCTTTGTCTAATTCCTTTCCCCTAGCCTCCTCTCGGTTCTTTTTCTTGTCCTTTATTATTTTCTGCAGTTCATTGACATCCTTTGTAATGAGATCCAAAGGTTGCAGAAATGAGAAGTCTTCATCCACGTCAGTCTCCGCCTGATTAGGGTAAAACAAAAATTAATCGACATAAAGATGTTCCTTTTGTTATATTAGAAGAAAATTAGATGAATATAAACTGCAACCACAGCTGAGCTGGGACAAAATGTAAAGAAGAATCATGCATTTTCTAACATTACTCAAATTTGCTTCCATCTCCAAGTATTGAAATCCCTTCTGTACAAATCTGATCAGAGCTCCAGGTGGAACTAAATTGCCATCAATAGGGGACTTGTTGATACCAGCCTCATAGCCAAAAACAAATGCTGTGTGGGTAAAACCTACCAGGCAGTTTGTTACGTCACAGGTTAGAGAGAGGGATGGGAAGAAAGACCTTCCTTTGTCCAATAAAGCTTTTCTCTTTGTAAATGAAAAATAAAAAAAGTAACCACCCTACACATTCCTAGGATTGTATGCATTAAACGAAGTAGCACCCAAATGCATCTAGGTTAAATATGTGAACTCAGGTTATTTAAGCACATCCCATGGGGAAATTTTAAGCCTAAGCTTATTGAATCAAAATTATGTATCTTATGCCCATACAAGGCCAAGGGCTAAAGTTGGATGGACTAAATAAGCTTGCAAGAATTTATGTTTTTCTTCGTGGTTATTCCTCTATGCAGGCATCAAATACGAATAGTATCAGCAAGTCCAATGATTAATGTTGTTCTTGAAGATATAGTATATTTAATGCAGTTAACATTCAAGGTTTTGCAACTACTTATAGTTACTGTGTATAATTTTTATAAGCTCGCCTCATTCAGCCAAATTTTGCTCAAAGAGATCTACTTAAATCCTTCTTTCTCTTAATTCCAATCTTGTAGAGTCAAATTCATACCAAGCTTTTAAACCCTAGATAACCCTTTTTCCACAATTTCCATAATTTGGCCAAATAGATTAAATCAAACACACACAGAATTAATTTAGACACTAGGCCAACGCATGGATAATTTTTGCCCAAAACGATAAATCAATATTACAGGTTCTGCTAAAACCCAAGGCAATTCAGTAAAACGTTAACAAATCTGAAGGGCATCCCCAAGATTCATAGCCGTGGGTGGGCACCAAAATCATTCTCACTGGTAAATTCCCTGAGAGGAAGATCATTTTTTGAAAATCTTGAAATGTCTATAGCGCGAAAAACGAAACCCTAATTAAGAATTAAAAAACCGTGTGACAACGATACCTGAATCAATTCCCGCTTAAACATAAATTCTAAAACATTGCAAACATGCATAAGCAATTTAGACATATATATATATACACATATAAGAGCTTGGATATATACACATACACGTGCATATCTACATATTCATATGTACAGAGTGACAGAGAGAACCTGATTCTTGTAGATAACGAAAGAGGATGTAATTCAACTCCACGGAAGTGATGGAGGCCATTTATATTGAGCGAAAAATGAAGATAAATTAGTGCATCATTTTTACTGAATTTTGAAGCGGCACCGGATGCTTGTTTATCAGAAAACTGACGTGTTTATGTGAAGTGTTTTTTTAAAATAAAGAGGACGAGAGTTAATGACGCGCGAGTTAAAGTCGGAAGAAACGTCCAACACGTGAGGCAGCAACGGCTAGCCAATGGAATTATGCCGTTTGTATTCTTCTCGTGATCCTCTTGTCACGTGTTCTTAAGTACTCAACATGGGCGTATTTCTATGGGCTGAACCACAAATCTGTTGTCATGAACTATAGATGGGCCTAAATGAAGTCCGATCTCCTTATACTACTCGAGTCCAATTCCAATAGTTTAGGGAAACAATACTTAAATAAAGTGTTTAAGAGCATGTTTGACTAAGTTTAAAGTCCAATTAAAATTGAAAATATAATCTTTAATGGGTCTCACTCGTCTAATAAAAGTCAACAATAACGATTGATTTTTCAATTTTAATCCAATTTTAATTTCTACCAAACACACCCTAACTATCATCATTTCAAAATTAAGGATAGAGATTTTAAATTTCAAAAATCAGATTTTCATTAAAATTTATTTATAATTTAATTAATTAATTATATATTTATTAATAAATATATAAATGTCACATATCTATGCAATTTGATCACAATTCAAAAATTTTATACGCCACAGTTCGTTCATCAGTCACAAATTAAAAGTTTTAAATCACAATTTGTTCATCGATTACAAATCACAAAATTTATAAAATATACAACTTATTTTATGGTCACAAAATATTAAATTCTAAGTCAAAGATTATTTTTATTGGTCACAACTTGATTATAATTTAATAAAATGTGAGTCACGAACACAATTTTTAGGTCACGCATTATCAATTTGTCAAAAATTAACCAATTATTGGTCACAATCAACCAAATAATTGGTCACAAACACCCACGTCAATCTCATCACACTCACGACCATCATCACGACACCGCACAAAACACTGCACACACTCAACTACAACTGTCATCACCCGCACGCATGTAAGCACACCTACCCAACTGCAACTGCCGCCCCACACACCCATTAGCAGTTCATTCACCCACAGCACCGCGATCGCACCTACAGCACCTCACCGCATGCACGCACCCATGTTCACACTTCACGTCGAAGCAACAACGCTCACACCTCCCCCAACACCGCAAGGCATACCTCCACCGCATCAATCAAAAATTTAAAAGAAGAAAAAGAAGAAGAACGAATCTGCACCAAGACCACTGGATCTGAACAAAGCCACCAGATAAGGCTGCGCCGTCTCATGGAGATTGGGCTGCTGGCGGAGAGGGAGTAGAGTGGAGAAGAGAGAAGGTGAAGAGATGGACCGTTTGTGGAGAGACGGTGAGGAAGGGGAGAGGATATGGATTAGTTTAGGGTTTGGATAGTGTAGGTAGATATAAAAATAAAAATATATTTTTTAAAATCTTTAATTAAAACATGATTTTTGTATTATGAAACTAAATACCTGATTTGTGAAAATTGTATTTTAAAACCAGGTATAGGTATAATTTTCTCATAGTTTAAAGTGGAAATTAAGGTCTACCAAAATTTTAAACTTTCCAGTTCAAAATTAAGATTTATAAGTTTTTTTTTTCAAAAATCAGATGATAATTAAAATTTTTAATATTAATAATGATATCACATTATTATTACAAAAATTAAATTAATCTATATAACCCACCCCACCCTGATTTCAAAACCATAAATATTTCTCATTCTTTTATTTACCTTCTCTCTTTATTATATCTATTCTCATCTCTCTACCTTCTCTATACTGGTAGGCAACGACAGAACTCTCTTCTCAAATTTCACTCTCTACTGGCGCACTCTCTCACCCTCTCTCGATTTTCATAGCACCAAAGTGGAGCTGGCGTCACGCTACAGTTTGCAACAATGTTGCGCTGCCGTTCATGGCAACGACGCCTAGAAATTAGGTCGATGTTTTCATATTGTTAGACACACTAGAAATAGGTCTATATTTAGCTTGGAAATTAGGTCTTGGAAGGGTCTAGATTTAGCTTAGTGTTTTCATCTTCTGAGGCACATTAGAAATTAGGTTTGGTCGTTGTTTTGGTGGTGTTGGTGAAGTGGTGTCGTGGTTGTGGTGACTTGTTGGTGTTGGTGTTGGTGTTGGCGGTGGTGGTAGCGGTAGCGGTGGCGGTGGCAGTTATGTAGTGATTTTATTCAATTAACTTGTGGTGGTGTTGTGGAGATGTTCGTGGCGGTGGTGCGTTGATTGTGGGTGGGGTGGATGTGTTTGTAACCAATTATTTTGGTTGATTGTCATTAATAAATTGATTAATATGTGATCAACTATATATGACTTAAAAAATATGATCGCGACTCACAATTTATTAAGTTGTGACAAAAGAATAACTTGTGACCAATTAATTTGATAATTTGTGATAGTTAAATTGTGACTTATAAATTTTGTAATTTAAGACCGATAAATAAATCTGACATGTAAAATTTTTGATTTGTGACTTATTAAATTTGTGCTTTGTGATCTATGAATAAATTGTTACCTATAAAAAATTTTATTTGTGACCTACGAATAAATTGGGACCATAAAATTTTTGGTTTGTGACCATGAATTAATTTGTAATCTATAATTTTTTTTATTTGTGTTTGATCAACTCAATAATTTATAACTAAATTGTACATAGTTGTGACTTTAATATATTTAATTGACAAAATATATTTTTAATTAATTGTTTTATCAATAAAGTTTAATAATATCCGACTTTTTAAAGTTTTAAAACTTGTTTCTTAGTTTTGAAATGAGTTATAATTAACCTCTTACATATGAAATCTTCCCCGATTTAAATTGTAAAACCATAGAAATATTTTTTAAAAAAATTTCTACCAAACAAGATTTAGCACCACAACATAGTGATATTAATTTATATGTTCAATATAGTAAATTTATATTTTATTGAGCATATCACTAAAAATGTCATTGTATTTTCACGTGGATTGATTCTATACAACGTATTGTGGCTATTATAATTATACGATATTATAACACACAACAGGTACATGAATCCTCATTTAAAGCGCCAATTATGATATTTTTACACTTTGACTGGGGGAAAAGTATTTTAAAATCCCTTGTATATTAAGAGAGGAGTCATGCTACTTGTACAAGTTATGTTACAAAATTGGTTTACAAAATACGTATTGACAACATCTTGGCCAATGATTTAAAAAATAGTTTTCGAAATCAATAACTTAGATCTTAACACATCATTTTGTCAACACACTTTTGTAAACAACCTCTGTACATGCTTGGGTTTGTTCTAATGTGTCTACTGAATTAAGTGGTGGTTTTAAATTTTTTAGTTTACAATTTATTTTTGGAGATTCAATTGTTGAGCATCATCATGTGTTCGAGATATTGTTTCTACGACTTGATAGCATTGGCAACACTTGTAGTGTCGCATTAGTTAAGTGATTGTTTTAATGTTCATGTTACCTACTAATTCCTTTGAATTTATATCTTTAGTCCAACTTTTTCCATTATTTGAGATGCATTTGTTGGAGCATTGTGTATTCAAGATATTGTTTATGTAATCCCTCAAATCTTCCATAATTGTAATCTCCTAGTCTCTTCTCTTACTTAGAATTTATGTATAGAAATTTTAGAAATTTTGTGATTTGAGAGAGAACTTTTTGGCATTTCTAGTGTAGGGATTTTATATGTAAGCAACAAAATATGTAACACCTTTGAAGTGTATTTGTTGACCTTTGGTACAACAAAACATGTTAGCAACTAGGCAAAAGTTGCATTACAAAAGTTGTGTTACGTACCGTACATTACTAAACTATTTATACCATTATATTACATAAAGATTAAATAGACATGTTTATTTCCCATGAAAACTAATTGTAAATATGTATATCATAGTAGCCGTCTCGAAGTAGTCTATGTAATAGTGGGAGCCCACGAAATGATGGAACCCTAGAAATTCTGAACATGTTATCCACGAGTAGACTTCCTTAACGTAAATGCAATACTGGCCGTCTTTCGAGGTAACCCATTCGTACGAAGTAAGGTCCATATATTCAGTAATGACCATCTACAAAAAAAAAAAAATTGATAAACATATAATGTGAATACACTTGTTCAGCGAGTAAACCATGCCATTTTATTTCCATTTTTTAAATAAAGTAAGGAAAACAATGGGCCTAATTATAGATGCTCAATTCTACCCGTGCACACAAATTTAGAATAACAATATATGAGCTCTTCAATTAATTACACCAATTTGGTGTATAATCAATTATCATATCAAGGGATATCCAATACAATGTACATATCCAATGCAAAGTCAATGGGTAGAATCTTGAATCTATAATCAACTTAAAAAAATAGTTATTCAATAAATATAATTATAATATATGCTTGGAAATAGAAATGGACATAGATTACTCACCTTCAAGTTGCTATGCTCTCCTTAGTAAGTTACTTTGGTTTTTAATTTGTTGTGTGTCTCTTTTCTCTCTTTTCCCCTTATTTATAGTAGTAATTAGAAATTTACTTAATAATTTATTTATGATTCCTTAATCATTACTTTGCCACCTTAAACCCTATTATGTCATTTGTCACTTAAATATTTATTGTGACAAGATGTTATGTATAGGATAGTCAGCTTATACCCTCTATATTTTCACATGGTAATTATCCAATTAATTATAGTATTATTAACATAACTTTTTACTATATTACATGAAATGTTCATCACAATAAAAAGTATAAATATGGAATAATCGTTATTTTTTCTAAAATTTTTGGGATTTACGTTTTTTGATAGTATCTGCCGCATTTTTAATTTAGTATTTGAAACTAATGTCTTACTAAAAATAAGTGAGAAAAAATCGATCTTCTTACTGCGTAAGGTAAAAACCAGTAATGCAAAGAGTGCACCTT